CGACATTGAAAACAGATGCTGTAAAGGCAACATGATCTTAAAAACTCCAAAATGAATCTCAACAACAGAAGGGCATAAAAACGTGTTGAAAACGCTTAAAAACAAGAACAACAAATTCAAAAAAAAATGCAAAAAACGACAAAAAATTTGAGCAAAAATTATTTGAAAACACTTAAAACACATCTTATTGACAAAGTAGTATACAACTAAAAAGAAAATCATTTCAAAACAGCTAAAAATCTCGCTAATAAAGCTTTAAAAAAAAACTTTCAAAACAATTAAATGAGCCATAAAGATATCGACTCTGATTCAATTTGCAACGCCAAATGACCTTAGAAATGAAAAAAACATGGCCAAAAATCACAAAAATTACCAAAGACCGCTGCAATGGCTATGAAAACGCTGATCCAACTTGCAACGCAAAAATTACCTTACACAAAACCACCAAGCTAGAAGATTTCAACTGTCACCCAGAATGCTGATAACGTTTGTTCGTGAGTGTTTGGACTGAAACACCAATTGGTACCAAGGTTGGTACCAAAAGGAAGAAATCCACGCTATACTTCGTATTAGTGTGAAAACAGAACTGCGTGACTTGGCACTTTCTTGGGATTCTTGGCCTGGTTAGAATATTCGTGAACCTTGAGCATCACCAAATTGACTAATAAAGAGCCGACGACATCAATGTTTAAGCGATTCAAAGACCAATTATGTCGGTGACGAAGTCTTATTATAGTTCCAATGTTTCATGGTGTGTTGAGTTTTCCAGCACGCAGATTATCATGAGCTGTTCGGATCCGATTGAAGCGAATTACGTGGCTGCTGAACTGTAGACGGATGAAGATACTTCGCACCGTAAAAAGCAATTTAGAAGCCCTCGGTTCCTCCAACTCAGTTGTGCTGATTCCAGCCAGCGCTCTTCAATGTAGGCCTGGCCCTGAGCTTAGCTATGGATCGGGCTTCTAGCTATGTCAGGCAAGTACCAACACGGTTTTGAACGTTTAGTGCCTGATTTACATCCGAATTTCGCCAATTTATGTTACCGATCGAGCAAAGCGTGTTGCTAACTCCTGCTAGTTGAAACCCTGGAACCTGCTTGAATGAACTCTCAAATTATGCGTCAAATGGGAGGAGCAAACATGTTACTCTCAAATTGGAGTGAAGTTATATGCAGCGTGATATTGTGTGAAACACTTGAGCAACAAATCTAATGAATTAGAGTTCCTTAAAACATAATGTTTCTTGAAACATTGTTGCAACAGAATTATATGTTTTTTGCACCTATTGAGCAACTATTTTGAAATGGTACTATAATGTTGACGTACCAACATGTGTTTAAGAACCTATTTGCAATCTTGTTCCAATTAAGGTGATATGATCCTGTGTCCACAAATCATAAGCACTTGCACTTGCCACTTCGAGTCTTCTACACACTTAGTTTTTTCTACCGAGCTCGGCTGTGCAAATCTCGGCAAAAAAAAGTTTCACTAAGATCTCAGCAAACATTTCATTTGTTTGCTGAGATTCAGCTTAGTATTATCCGAGACTCAGCAATCAAATGTCACTTTTGATGAGATCTCAGTGAAACTTTTTTAGCCGAGATTTGGACAGCCGAGCTCGGTAGAAAGAACTAAGTCTTTTTTTTTTTAATTTTTTATTTAAGGGATTTTTCGCCGAAGGCTAGTTTATCTCTAAGAAAAACCTAAGTGTGTAGGAAGTTAATCTCGGATACTATTGCGATTTCAGGCATTCCATATTTGCAACCAACTGGCTCAAGGAGTTACTGTAAAGCGTTGTTGCAACCATCTAGCAACTACCATGCTGCAAAATGTCATGCTATTGACACGTTGTAAAATACTTTTGGACTACGTTGGCAAAAGCGGAGAAATCGGTGGTGAGGAAGACCACGACGAGGGCGATAGTATTACGAGCGGTGGATGACGATGGTGACTAACGACGATGTCGACAGCGGCTGGCGTGGCCGTAGTCGTTCCAAAGGACCACAGAGAATTTTGCACTTGATAATTGTTATGTTAAAGTATTTTGATTTTTTATGGGTGCAGAACATTGAAGAACTCAATAAGATCGATTTCTGATAGTGTAATGTTGTTCAGGTGAAGCCTTTGATTTGTTCTTTATCAGAATTTCGAAAGAAGGCTTTGCATTATAATCAGAAGTTATTTTTAAATATTTTTTCTTAATGATGATTGAAAGTAGTTTTCCGGTTGTGAAACCGACGTAGTGAAATCGCTATAATTATCCATTCTTACAACGGCCCAAAATACAATGGTAATTTGTGCGATTAAATCTATGGTAATCTAGGGCAAAAAGATATTGATTTTACCGCCAAAAAAAGTAAATATTTCACCAGTCCGGTTTTTACCTGGGCCACCTTAAGGATTCATACTTCCAGAGCTGATGTCACTCCGCCTGAGCAAAGTAACAAATTAAGTCTTTGTAAAGCTACTATTCAGTGATCAGCCAGAGCACTATAAACTAGTAGTTTGAATCCTTAGGGTTTGACATGAGAATTCGAAGCGTTGAAATATCGATCCCATACACTAATTATTGGATATAGTGTGTGCCCTTGTAATATTATGATCGAACAAAGGGTGAGGTTGCATTGTTGTCCTAACCTCAGATTACGCCACCTATTGATTGAAGACTCAAATTTCTCAACAACTGTTACCTTATTCAAAAACGGTGTCGAATATCACTTCATGTTGTTCCGGAAATATATCATAATCTTCCTAGATAATTATCAAAATAGAGTCGAGACCAGTCTTGTAAGCGGTCACCGTAGTCGACACATTTCTGTGACAATTGACTGCCTTTGCCTCCGACATTTGCAGAACATGCTATCATAGTACATTACCAAACTAAACCCAGACAACCAGAATGCACGTATATTCAAAGTTGTTTTCGTGATATACAAACAAACAAGTCGTATAGAATACAAAGAAATGGCTTATACGTACAAAAGTGGAGGCCATATACGTGCATATTTTCGTTTAATTTTAAACGAGTTGATTTAACATCATATGCAATTTGATCTGTAATAACAAATCCATTTTGAAAAGTCTTACGATGTAATCCGATTAAATTTGTGATACAGTACGACGGAAAAATGAGTCATCGCATATAAGTCGGAAATTTGCATTCTATACGATTTAACTTAAACATAATGCGAGGTATGCCATTCTAATATGCAATTTTGACTTAAACTGTAGCAATTTACGATACTGTCTGTACATTGTTATACGACTTCTGGTTGTCTGGCAAATGTCATACGACAGGCTCTGTCATACGATACTGTTGCCGAAGGCCGTCACGAATATATGTATTTTAGTTTTTCTCATAATAAGAGCTGCTGATGTTGTGCTTGTGTGAATTCTGAAAATAGCAAGCAACGATGTCCTAGTAATAACATTTCTGATCAGAAATGGTTTAATTTACACCAAATTGAGGAATTAGAACGAAATCACATATGTTATATGATATTTATTTGATACTTTTCTTTTTGCTCGAATGTTGTTCTACCGGTTGCGTTGTGTAAGAGAAACGACGCTCTCTTCCCCGTCAGCTCGATGATGATCAGGCCTTCAACTTTTTCATCAAAAAGCACGTAATCCATAAGTCGTCGTACTTGTCCGGCTTTATAAAGGAAACTATGGATAAAACGTGGCTTTCTTATTAGATTACGAAACCACTGTACCGCCGCTACGGGATCACAATTGATCAAATCGCCATAGATGGACTTGAAACCGCTGCAGTGGATCCTGAAATTGAGCTGAAAACCATTGTCGTGGATAATGAGACAGAATTGCTGCTTGGGAAACAGGAAACGCTCCTTTGGAATGATGAAAAATGCCTGGAGATCGCTCCCGCGCAAAACAGGACTCATCTGTCATTAATATATGACGAGCACGGCGAAGAGATAGCTTTTCCTGCCATATGTTTCGGCCATCTACGGAAATTCAAGCCAGGGGTTCGGGTGACATATTTCATGATGGCATCCACTGAAACTCGTCGTCAAGACAGGTGTGTAGCCAAACCACACCATTTGTTACATATGACAATGAAACTTCTTCAGCTTAGAGTTTCCGAAGGCTTGCAATGCACTTTTAAGTGCACGAGACCGCTAACATTACACGTATCAACCCTTAGGACCGCCTTATTCATGGAGCAGTGCATTGAGCGAAATCTATCCTTCCTCAAATCAATATCGAATTCAGTACAGTATTGGCAACAAAGGAAGAGAAATGTGTTCACCATGATGCTAAAATTGGGAAAGCCTACTTTGTTTCTCACACTTAGTGCAAATGAGATGAAGTGGCCCCATTTGTTGAATCTCCTACATCGATTGTCAGAAGGACACAATGGCAATGACTTAACAGATCCTACCCAGGAATTGACTGCACTACAAAGAACAATGATGATCAAGTCACGTGCTGCGTGCACTTCAACAAGCTGGTCGACACGATTTAATTTCAGCACGCGCACATCTTACTATGGCTGAACAAGGATCCCCGGGAAACAATCATTACAAAAACTTGTTGTAAAACTTTTTGTGACCTTTAAAACAACCGTTCCAATTTTTGCATTGTTTAAGGTACTCCATCGCCCTGTTTCAAATGAATCATAAGCTACCTGTCATCCTGAGTATATCGATGGAAAATGTCATAATATTGAAGATTACAATCAAATGCGTATCATCCTGAAAATAAAATTGTCTATAGGTAATTTACTTCATCGGATCTATCAACATTACCCCAAAGGGAGATAAAGTAGTTAAATCAACCTCTTGCTTTCTTCTAACAAGGTGACGAAGGCAAACCACTTAACTTCAATGTCAATTTGCTAACGAATTTGTTTAAAGACCCTCGTTAGGTCCCATCTTCAAGGATGGCTCATCCCATTAATCTTCCCCAGTGCGAACAGGAAATGATGCGCATCATTGGACACCAATAAATTCGGTTAAAAAAGAAAATGCTGCTTACCTGGCCATCGTTATCCTTGTCGGCCTTCGTCCGCAGGCCGTCCCAAATTTTGAACATGGCATCATGGGTTTCCTTGTTCTTGGCATGTCCCTCCGGCCAGCCGCGGAGTTCGCAAATTTTCTGTTGGATTTTGAAACATGAATCACGTTAACAATGGGAAAACTGGAAAAGGTTTCCGCTGCTGGGGTACATACGTTAATAGCAAGTTCGAAATCCTTGCGGTCGATCTCTCCACTCTGGTTGATATCTGAAAATAAGCAAATTGGAGCAATTAGACATGAATAATAGCGTACTCTAAAACAGCGTAAAACCAAATCAATCAATTATTCAAAGTGTTGGCCTGCCTTTCAGGTTAAAAAATCTAATCGATCACATACTGACTAGCGGAAGCTTATTCTAAACCGATTATTCAAATCACTCAACTCGATTACATTTCTCTTGCACTCGGTTCTGGATCCACCGGACCATTCTATCTATGTGTACAGGTTCAACCGCCCTTGAAACCCGATTCCTATCTCCCGGTTCGAGATTGACCCAGAAGTTCACTTGTTACTGCTACAAGTGTAAGCAATGAGAAAAAAAAATCAAACCATCCATTCTGGATGGAAGCTAGTAATCCATTTTACTGGTTGAGAAGCTCGGAATAAAAAAAGGAAGTGAATGTAGTGAACTCGAGGAGGGACACGTTGAATTATCGTTTCTTTCTAATGTTCTACACTCTACATAGAGCTAGGTAAGTGCACCCGGTTCGGGTGCAGCAATCCAATCAAAGAGGAGATGCATTTTTCTCTGTAGAGTGGAATGCTAGAAAGTGTTCCGCTGGCTGGGCGTCCACCAGTTGGGGGATGCTGTTGCTCTGCTGACTGGACAATAGCAATGAATGTTCAACGTGAGCCGAGTAGAATGGTATTTGGAATTTTCGGAAGAGCTTTTCCTTTCCATTGCTATAAAGGGCTGATCGATAGCCTAGTCGTTAAAGGTACGGTATTACCAAGTCGGAGGCGGTGGGTTCGATTCGGGATGGAAATTATCTCGACTTCCCTGGGCATAGAGCATCATTGTGCTAGCCACACAATTTACAAATGCATGCATTGGATCGCATAGAAAGCTCTCAATTATAACTGTGAAAGTGCATATAGAACACTAAGTTGACAGCCGCGAAAACGCTCGCTTCAGAAGTGTAAAAAGCTTAGCCGAATAATACAGGACTGGCTTTCTGATATTTACATTAAAATAAAACCAACGTAAATGTATCAACGTGGGTGAATCCTTTACATCTCCTCCTCTATGGTTAATATTTTGTAACTGTTCGTGCAGGCGACTACTACTGCCTCTACCCTTAACATAAAATAGATACTGTGCCTACCCATAGATGTCACCACTTGTCCCCGTATCATTGTTATAGCTTATTATGTACTGTTCTTGTTATGTTACAGTAAATAAACGTCTGCAGTACTTTTACCTGCGCCATGGCAGGACGGTCAGTAAATCGATCGTAAATCATTATTTTGAACTATCACACAACGTACAAATTGGGTCCTATCCGTGCGCGATCATAATGGTACCGTGACCAGTTGCGCGAACCGTTGTGAAAGTGACCGATCGGAAAACGTCGAACACTTGTTGTGATTCAACACCAGTGCTATGAAGGATTCCACTACACTACCGGCTACGATGGTGTGGCTTTACAGTAGCCATCTGGCAGAGCATCTCGCACCGGGTCTAGCTCACCCTACGGTACTGCTGCAGACGGCACAGTATTTGGCTAGCAGCAGATGCTCAATTTCAACGGACTAGTGTCTACGTCGGATACTCAATACACAACGTGTTAACAACAGTGCACACTCTTTTCATCGGTCAACAATGGACAACAAGCAGCTCGCTTATCATAACTGAATGTGCAACAGTAACAGCAGATTCACTATGGAAGTCATCAGATCAACAGACCCAATAGACCACATTCAACACTGCTATATTCCACATCACGTCGTATTCAAGGAATCCAGTACGACCATGAAAGTCAGGGTTGTCTTCGACGCGTCATGCAAGACTTCGTTGGGCTATTCCTTGAACGACACTTCCTTGGACCTGTTGTTCAGCAAGATCTCTACTCGATCTATTTGAGATTCCGGACAAGAGTTGTCGCCATCGTAGCAGATGTCGAGAAGATGTATCGACAAGTGCTGCATCATCTGATCGACCTAGTATTCCTCCGCATACGATATCGTAGAAGTCCTACCGATCCGATCGCTACATGAGAACTACAGACTGTCACCTACGGAACAGCAAGCGCTCCTTATTTGGCAACGAAGACACTTCAGCAGATCGAGAAGGATCATGAGCATTTGTATCCCGCTGCAGTCAACTCGGTTGTTGAAGATTTCTACGTCGACGATCTTTTGTCTGGAGCATCGGATGTGGAAGCTGCGATTATTCTCCGCCGAGAAATCACTGCCATGCTTAGTTCCGCTGGGTTCATACTGAAGAAGTGGGCGTCGAATGCCCATGAAGTGCTAGAGGATGTTCCGCCACAGGATGAGCAGACAATCTTCACACTTGGTCTACTTTGGGAGCCAACCGCCGATATGCTACGGTTCAAGGTTGAATTACCTCTTCCTGCTGCCATCCTTACAAAGCGGAAAGTGATGTCGTATATAGCTCAAATATTCGACCCACTGGGATTATTGGGTCCAACGACAACCAAGGCAAAGCTCTTCATGCAACATTTGTGGACGTTGAAGCGAAATGGTGTTTCCTGTGAATGGAATTCTCCACTACCAGAGAAACTTCAAGCCGATTGGAAGCAGTTTCACTCTACCCACCACATTCTCCCTGATATCCGTATTCCTCGATTGGTGTTGGCTTCCGGAGTCAACAGTATCTAGCCGCATTTCTTCGCCGATGCATCCTCCATTGCATACGGTACGTGCTGCTACGTTCGCACGGAATCAATGGTAGGAGTATTTGTACACCTTTGGACATCTAAGTCTAAGGTCGCCCCGTTGTCTACACATCATTCCATCGCTAGACTTGAGCTCTGTGCCGCTCATCTAGCTACTCAACTTTACAAGAAAGTAGAAGCGACCTTGAAGGTTTCAGCAACGGCATTCTTTTGGTCGGATTCTAGTACCGTGCTTCAGTGGTTGCGTGCATCTCCAAATCGCTGGAAGACATTCGTCGCCAATCGCGTGTCTAAGATCCAGACCACCACGGATATCAATCACTGGAGACACATCGCAGGCTTCGAGAATCCAGCGGACGATATCTCTCGTGGCCTGAATCCAACGGATATTCTGCACCGTTATCGGTGGTGGCATGGCCCACCATGGTTGTCGCAAACTCTTGATCTCTGGCTTAAAGACCATCATCGATCAGGAGTACTCCCCCGCAGCGTCCGAGGAAGGGCGCAAAATTCCGATTGTTGCAATGACTGCTGCACAAGCAACTCTCTGTGAGGATCTGTTCGCACGGTACTCCAGCTACAGCAAACTACGCCGAGTCTTGGCACTCTGCGAACGCTACCTACAGTGCCTGAAAGATCGTTCTCTCCTGCGCAAATCCGATCCCAGTTTCGCTGAACTACTAGTACTTCAAGGAGATAAAGCCGCATCCGTTTCACGAGTTACTACCACCGAGCTTCAACACGCCGAACAGCTACTGTGCCGTTTATCACAACGCAAGGCTTTCGCTGAGGAGCTCTGCGATCTTGCAAATGGCGAACGCGTCATTAAGTCATCTTCGCTCAAATGGCTGAACCCGTTCGTAGACCAAAACGGTATCATCCACGTCGGTGGTCGTATCCGTAACGCCGCGTTATCTGACGCAATCAAACACCCGATCGTTCTGTCCGCTAAACATCCGCTGTCTGCTCTGTTGGCTAGCAGTTACCACCAAAAGCTACTGCATGCAGGTCCACAACTCCTGCTAGCCACTCTCCGCCAGAAGTTTTGGATTCTGGGCGGCAGAAACCTCATAAAATCCGTCTTCCACCAATGCCACACTTGTTTTAGAAGCAAGCCAACTCTAGTCCAGCAGAGCACAGCCGATCTGCCGGTATCGCGAGTTTCACCGACGCGTCCGTTTTCCGTGTGGGGTATCGACTACTGTGGACCATTCTACATCAAGTCAGCAGTTCGAAAGCGTGGTCCTACAAAAATATACGTGGCCATATTCGTTTGCTTCTCAACCAAAGCTGTTCACATCGAGTTAGTGAGCGATTTGTCCACTCCTGCGTTCCTAGCTGCACTACGTCGTCTAGTCGCCCGCCGAGGAAAAGTCGTCGAGCTCCATTCTGACAATGCTACTGCCTTCAAAGGTGCTTCGCATGCCTTGAATAGAATTTACCGAATGCTAAAGATTGAAGCTGCTGACCGTGCGCAAATCTTCGATTGGTGCTCCGAAAATGAAATCGTCTGGAAGTTTATTCCACCCCGAGCTCCACACTTCGGAGGCCACTGGGAAGCCGCTGTCAAATCTGCGAAAACGCATCTGCTGAAGACCGTTGGTAACGTCAACTTAGCCTACGAGGACCTGTTGACATTGTTAGCACAAGTCGAGATGTGCCTTAACTCTCGTCCGCTTACGCCGATACCCGAGGACCCATCTGACCTAGAAGTCCAAACGCCAGGACACTTCCTTGTTGGAAGCAGCCTACAAGCGGTTCCTGAACCGAACTGGAAGGATACTGCTGATAATCGCTTGGACCATTGGGAATTGACCCAGAAACGGCTGCAGGTGATCTGGTCGCGCTGGTACCCGGAGTATCTATAACAGCTACAATCTCGTGCAACTAAGGGTTGCAATCCGACAGTCACCATCGAAGTTGGTGCCATTGTCATTATAAAGGAAAACAATGTTCCACCAACAAATTAACCGTTGGGGAAAATTATCAAGCTTCATCCTGGAAAAGATGGTGTTGTACGAGTGGTGACTCTTCGAACAGCATCAGCTAAAGAAGTCGTGCGCCCCGTAGCACGAATCGCGTTACTTCCGTCGATAAAATTATCATCAACCTTGTGACCAGGTAGAGCAACCCATTCCGGGAAAATTTGCTCGATGCGCACCTGCACATTGCACAGGTAATTGTAGGTCCAATAAATTACACTTGCCTCGTAAGATCTACCTGTTCCTTCTATTGTTCCCGGTCTCCGTCGAGGAATAATCATCCCACATCTACCACTGGATCAACCCGTGAACCCGTGGTTAAGCGTGCAAATGGAGAATCATGCGCAGCCGGAATTCTTGCAG